GTTAATAGGATGTGTTAAACTAGTAACCGCTTCAAGCAGTTTCTTTCTAATATGGCCTATGTTAAAATGAAGTCAGACTTCTCTCAAGTGTTGGTATTCTGTAAACTAATATCTAACACAGGTAATATTAATATTTAATATTTTCCCTTTGTTTACAAAGGATTCACCAGAATCAGATATTGAACGAGACAAAGACAAAAAAGAAAGAGAGAGAGAAAGTGAAAAGGATAGAGCTAGACAAAGATCTGAATCAAAACATAAATCTCCGACTAAAAAACGACCTGGAAAAGATTCTGTAAGCTTTCTTATTTCCTTCTTATGTAATGCCTTTGGGCTTTATGTATCAGTGGGTTGCTATAGTATGCAATTTTAAAGGGTCATAACAGGTTTACCTTTAAGTAAGGTGCTAAAGCTTTATTTATGTTCCCACTCCATATATAAAAGGACTGAATGTTCAGCCAAAGCTGAGCCATGCAGACTCTGTGCCCTCACTTAGTGTTTAGTTATTGATGTGTGAAATTATTTGGCTAAATGCTGTTTGTTGCTGGTGATGTAAAGTGTGAATGAGGCACATTATTTTATAGACCGTACTGGAGCACAGTCCATACTGTGACAAAGTGCTATTTATGATTAGACTGCCTTTCTGGTTTTCCATCCAATTTGCCAAATTGATCTCAAAGGAAAATGAGCAGCACAGCTGGGTAAAGATCTGACTGATCGTGGGGCTCTTCCATTCTAAGATTTTAGTCCTCTTGTCACTGTTCAGGTAGCAATTGCTGTGCTGGGTGGTGTTAGCCTGATACTGGAAGAAAATCTAAATTCTTGCACTTCTCAAGCTGGAAAATCGTACAGCAGTGTACTTGTAACTGGGATCTTGCTCTCTGCTGTGGTGGTGCTGCATGGAACTGGTTTTGGAATGTTTAGGACAGTGTTTTCAAAGACGTGCAAACATTTCCTAATGAAAAAAAATAATTAGGGGGGAGGAATCAGCTTCTCGGGGTGTCTTTGTGGGAATCATCTGCCGTGCTGTGGTTAGCTGGATGGTGCTGATGGCGCTGTCCTTCTGGATAGCGCCCCACATGCTCTGCCTTCCCTGGGGAGGTGGGAGGGCAGATGGCTGCTCTCTGCATTATCTCCTTAAAATAAGCTGCTTTGGCCTCATCTGAACGCCGCTGAAAAACCCAATTATGTGGCTGAATGCGAACGTGAACTCAGGTGTGATTAAGTGGTCACTGTCTACTGGAGGACCTCAGCTTAGCTTGCAATGTCCCTCTTTCCCTCCCCGCCTCTTGTTGTGACTGCTGCTGCCTGAACGTCCTGAGAGGCGCCGAGCAGCTCGCGGGGCTTTGAGCAGTGCGCTGGGACTGCGTGGAGGTGGCTTAAACACTGCAGGGCTTACAGGCATCAGGGGGCACCAGAAACACTGCTCTTGAATGTGTTTTATCAGTAAGGTGTCTGTAGAGAAGTCCTGCTGGAAAATCCTGTGCAGGAACAACTGCAGACAGGTGTGTGCTGTACAGGGATAGGTTCTGGGGGGTTCTCGTGCTCAGAGAGCCTGGGCTTCAGCTGGGAGCCTCAGTGCAGAGCGTTCCCTAACGTGCTGCATTAGGGTTAGGAGGCTAACAGGGGGCCCCTGCTGTGCCTTAGCCAGAGAACAAAGCGTGGAAAATAAATCACTCACCATTAGCCTTTTTTCTCTCTGCAGGGTAACTGGGATACTTCAGGCAGTGAACTGAGCGAAGGGGAGCTGGAAAAACAGAGGCGGACTCTTTTGGAACAACTGGATGAAGATCAATGAGAACGTTATTTATACCAAATATGTTTACATTGTGGCATAATAAAAGAAACCAATGTCTGATTCAGGATGTGGGTTCTGATATCCTGAGTTCCATTGTTGGAATAACAGTGGGTTTTAATCTGACCACCTAAATACATTCAAGTACTATTATTACGGGCATCAAATCTAGAAAAGTGAACGAAATTCTGAGTTACAAGTTGAATGTCTGTCCTTGACCTGCTAGGCAGAATGTGTGTTCTGCTCGCCATGGAGAGAGCCCTTTGAAGGGAACAACACGGTGGAAGGCATTTCAGTTCTTGCTGGATCTTGTCTGCAGGCTAAGGAAAGTGTTGGCACCTTTCTAGCAAAGCATCTCCTAAGTACGGTCCTTCCTAGAAAGGTAGTAACACTGTCTCTCCTGGCCAATGTAGGCAGGTAAAATTTCGTTTTTTAGAAAGATTTTTAATATAGTTTCTTGTGGCTTAATTTGTCTTATGAATTTGGTTTTATTTTTGAAAGGGGAAGGCAATGGAAGGGGAGTAATGAATCCCTTTCTTCATCTTTACTGCAAAAATAATCAGATCTTGGAATTGGTTTTTTATGAACTACATTCCTGGCCAAACCAATTTTGAGCATTTATGTGAAGCAGCAGACCTGACGTCCTGGCTGAGATTCACGTCTGTCTCATCTCCAAGCGAATGTTTATGGTAAATAAAATGCAGATGTGGCCGACAAACGCAGTGGGTGCTTCAGTGCAGTGCCGGCAGAGGGTGCTGCTGCTCGCAGCTGCCCTTTGTATTAGTGTAAAACCTGATCCAGAACAGCTGCAGCTGTTTCAGCATTTATCTTCACGTTAAAATCTTAAACGAAATAAAAATCCTGTAAATTAATTTCAGTATGTTGCCTTAAGAACCTGCTGAAGAATGTACCACCGGGTTTTCAGTAGCAGCTGCAGTATCCTGTGTCTAGAAGCTCAGTGTGTGCTAAACCCTTCCTTAAAAAGGGAAAAGGAAGAAGCTTGAGCTCCGTCTCCTTTCTGATTGCTCTTAGGAAAGTTCAGCGACAAGCAGTGACTGCTGTGGTACACATTCTGAAACGTTTGATTGGAATATTTTTGTACATTTTTATCAATTATTAAACCTTGTCTCCTAGTGTGTACTAGTATTTATTTCTAGTTTTAAATACTGTGTACAGCTCTGATAAATTGCTATCTTCTGGTTCTTGGATTTAAGCAATGTATGCTCACACAAAGATACTTGAAGGCTGTATTTAGAGTTTAGCTCTGTTTTCAGTGCATTTTTTCCTAATGTATGACAGCTGTTACTAGCACAAAAATAACCCCAAAGGTCCAATTCATGCAGCGCATTTTCTTGCTAGGGTGGTTACGTGACTCAGGCTTCTTAAGAATACTGCTCGAGATCAGAATTAGTCATTTGAAATGCAAAATGCTGGAGACAGCTGATCTATTTAGCAGGAAATGATAACTTTTTTTAACTGAGATCATTTGGTATGGAGATGAGGGTCAGTCCAGGGCCCGTTGTGGTATTGCTGCTTTCCAGCTGAGCATTAATTGCTCATCCCCCACTCACTGCCCATCACTTACATAAATGCAGGGGTTTGGGCAGCAGGATGTGTGGTATTTCCTTCATTACAGTGAAATGGTTGTGTCAAATCTGGGAAGCTGCAGCCTGAAACGTTGGCAGGGGCTTTGCTCCAGGCTGCTCCCCGGCAGCATGAAGCGGAGAGGGAACTCGGCGCTCCCAGGGCTGCGCGTGGTCAGCAGCGACTTCACCCACGTATTTTGTTACCCTTGTAAGCTCACTTCCCTGGATTTGTATTTTAAGATGGAAATGTGTAAATAGTGGAACAGGCAGCAATGCCCAAGTGAAAAAAATAAACTGCAAATGATTTCTAGAACATGAGGTTAGCTGAAAATCTTGTCTTACACTGGCTTTACATTGATATAGATGCGGGACGGGGAAATGCAGGGGGAACGGAGTTAGGGTTTGGTCATAATGGTTTGCAAACACAGAACTTGTGTACAGTATTTTGCTAATGCCTTGCATTTGCTGAACTTACATAAGGAAAATGTGTTTCTAAGAAAATACTGCTTTTAAAAAGGTTTGCCTTTATTTTTCCATTAAAAAAAATAATTAAAAAATCAGATGGTTTTTTTTACGTCTCTTAATCAGATCTTCCAAAAAAAAATCTTAAAACGAGGCTTTTAGAAAATAATCCTGGTAAGGCATAATTTCATTTTAAGGGAAATGACAAGACTTTTTAAGTGGGCATTTTGTTTTGTTTCGTTTTTCCCTCCTTTTCTGTGGCCTCACCTCTCTGCTGGCCTGTCCATGCTGCAGTGGACATCCCCTGCCTGCGCCTCCCCGCTGGGCAGCACGAAGATGCTCTTGCATTCAAATGCTTCATTTCTGCCTTGAACTTTAAAGGATTTTAGCAAAAGCAGTTATTTTTAAATGTTAAGGGTACCTATGATGATGTTTAACTTTGTGTTTGACTTGCTCTGCTTTGCTGCCGTCCTGAAGGCAACCAACCCTCGGAGCCGCCTGGGGGCTGGGGCTGGCAGCCCCATGCTCCCCCCCCCACATTCCGCTGTATTTATTTTGTTAAACCTTCTAAAATTAAATCTGAATTTTGGCTAAAATATGAATTTTGTCTCTTTTAGTTTAGGCCTTTAATAGTGGCGGTTTTGTGTTTTGCTGGCCAAACTCTTGCCACCGCTGACTGGTGATTATTGGCAGTTGCTGCAGAGCGGCTGCTGGGGGCACGGCCGTGTTCCTGTGCTGGGTATTTCCCACCGCAGGCTGTGTCGTGCAGGGACCTGGGGCCCTTGGGCGAGGCTGTAGTGAAGCACAAGAGGAATATTTGAGGTGCTGGGGCTGGTGGGCAGCAGCGCTGTGCATTCAGTGGGCATTGCATGAGTCAAGTGCTGCTGGGGGCACCCACTGCAAGAGGAGGCTCTGCCTGGGCAGGATGGTGGCAGGGGAGGGCGAACTGGCCTCAGTGCTTCACTTCCAGCCTTGTCCAGTCTCCAACTGCCCCGAAGCACCACTCTTCCTTCCTTCTTTGTCCTTTTTCTTTTTAAAACCCAGCCCTGAGCTGAAGCCAGGTGTAGGCTGCAGCACGCCGTGGCCGTGCCCACCGGCAGCACCAGGAGCAGGGGCACTGAACAGCTCACACAGCCCAAAAAGCCAGGATTGCGGGCTAGTAGTGTAAATAGTTTATTTGATCTTATGCCAGGAACAGACCAGGAAAGTAACATGAACTGCTTTTATAAAACATTTCTAATATTGCTAAGAAGCAGGTCTATTACTAGAAAAATATTAAAGAGAACATGCCAGCGTTAGAGTCCAGTTGAATGAGAATTTTTGTCTGAAGTTTTAAAAAAAATACCTTTGAGCTTAAGAATATGAAAGCTACTGGTTTCAACCAGTTTGACTACCAAATTATTAAATTAATTGCCAAATTTTTTACACAGATTCAAACACTCTTCTGTCACGAGCAGTGAAGAAAGAGGCCATGTGGCATGTTCTCTTTAGCATGTCAAGTACATGTTGCTGTAAATGCAAGAAGGTGGCAGTTTTAAAGTAAACTTCCTGTAAATAGGTAAGCAGAGGTCAATGTGGTAACTGAGCCCCAAACTGTCCATTTAGTTAAATATAAAAACAAAAACTATAAGTTAAAATAACATTCAGATTGTATAGCACAGGCTGATGCATTTTTTTAAACAATATTTACAATATTACCCAGAGGCTAAAGTGGGAATAAAAGAGAAGTGTAAAAACCATAAAAAACTGCACCAATTTTGTAGCAAAATATCTGTACATTTAAAAACAGATTATCATATAACTACACATTATCCGAGGAAAATGGGACCTTCACCAGTGGTTCACATAAGCACAACGTAAAAGAAAAGAAATTCAGTGGTTAAATACTATACAATAAATTTTACAATTAACATATTGATGCATCGATACCAGGAAAGGTAAGCTGTAAGCAAAATGTATCTTGGAAAGTACAACTTGATCTGCAGTCCAGTTCTTCACGTCTGAGAAAATCGAGTGCCCGGCCGGCACGGAGCGCTGTGTCCCGTTACTCTGGGGTACTGGGGCAAACTGGCAGCGGGGCGTGCACAGCGCAGCTCCCGTCCCTTTTGAAGCTTTGGAAATGCGATGTGGAACCCGTCTGGAGTGTTACTGAACAGATGAACCCAACAAACGAACCTTAGGACTTAATTTGAACTCGATTGTCGAAGGACGCCGGGGGGTTACAACGTAGATGCGAACTGGGGTGTAAGGGGATGTTAATCCTACACAGCAGGGCACGGGATGAGTTCTCTGTGCTAGTAACTGAACTGGAATGGTCCTCAGAAGCCTAATACTGATTACTGAGATGTTAATACCTTAGTGCTAATTAATAAATACACTGTTACTCAAAAGCTGCCCCTATCTGAAGAGCACAGTAACTGCCTGCAGCCACCATTCTCCTTCTGTGCATTTGCAATGCGTTTGTCCCCGCAAGTATCCCTCATGCCTCAGCCCCGCATTGCACACCGCCAAAATCAGAATCCTAAGGAGAAGAACAGTGTTCGTTTGTTACTAATCGTGTGATCGCTGACCTACGTGTTCCCACGTCCTACCTACAGTGCTGTGGAGTCTGTGTATGGTGGAAAAAGGAACGGGTCTTCTTGTCATCATCTCCCTAGTACATACAGAAAAAGCCCTTAAGTGTTTTGTTTCTTTTTTTAAAAAAAAAGAAAAAGCCAATAAGTGCATCTGAAGCCAAGGTAAATCCCTCAGCTGACAGCGCAGGAACGCGTTTCCGAGCTCAGGGAGCTCTCCGCAGAGCACATCCCGGTACCACCTGTTCACAACCAGTCGGGATCCAGGTACGGTCGACAGACGGCCGATCGCTAAACTTTTATATCATCAAACCAAACCAAACACCCGAAACCAACACATATTTTACATTTTGGTTAAAAATACTGAGTAACGTATTGGTGTAAAAAGATACCCAATCAAATCAAGTCCTATTGCTTTGATTAATTTGAGCAGGTACTTCAGTTTTAGGCACTTGTTAGCTACAGCTGAGTGGAGAGCCCATCGCTGACGTTCCTATGCATTTTCTAGGTCTCTGAGCCCTTTGGAAAGTACCGTGACCGGTCCCAAGGCTGTCAGGAAAGCGGCAGAGCACACAGTTCACATGGACAAGGTATCGCTCGAGCACCCCCTCGGCTTTGCAGGCGCAGGTCTCCAGCTCACATGGTTATTTCAGCACCGTTTGCAGAGCGCAAGTTCTGATCATCGAAGCGCCGCCGGACGCTTCTCCTCACCGCATCGGCCCGTCGGTACGGCTGGTTTCTAAGATCTGCGGAGAGGAAAGCGGCCGCCGTGAGCACAGGGGTCTCGCCCCCGGGGCACACACACGCACACACACGCTCTCTAGACAAGGAAAGGTCCTGCTGGAAGCCAATCAAAGCAGCTTGGGTAGGAGCAGCAGCAGGGCCTGTCACCCCGAGGGGCGCAGCCGTGAGCGGACGCTGGCTGAGGGGCCCTTTTGGCCACGCGCCCAAGCAGCAGGAAACGCTGGGGGAAGCGCCGAGGTGCAGCTGAGCCCAAATGGAGTTAGCACAGTCAGGTTGGCCTGAGCCTCGTCCCACCCCTGGGCAGCTGGTGCTGATGAGCCTCGTTAGCAAAGGCAACAGCAGCTGAAGCCAGTTTGCCGTACTCGGCCTTGCAGCTTCTAAAACCCTGGTGCGAGCTGCAGGCATTTTGCAATGTGGCATGAAACTCGCTGAATAGGAAACGCAGGGCACAGGGGTTTGTGAGTTTATCAGAGCAGCCTGACTTCATGCTCCCCACCCACCCGTTTGTTAAAAGCAGCCGTTCCTCTGCGACCCACTGCAGACCCACGGCTGCCCCCCAACCACCAGCCCGCAGAGCTGCTGCTGACCCCAACGCCCCTGCACAGCACAAAAACTGCCCCCGCCCGCCCCTGGCTGCTGCTTAGGGGGTGACAGCTCGGGAGGGAAGAGAAGGGAGACACTGAGCATGCGATGGGTCGAGCGATGGAGAAAGCTGGAGATGGACGTTGGAACGAGAGCCGGTGTTAGGAGCGCTGTGGAGGTGACCGGGGGGCTCCCTGTGCTGCAGAGCTGCCTCCCCGCAGGGTGCAGTATGTGAGGGGCTGCACCTCCTGGGCAGGCAGATTTTTAATTTTTTTTTGCCTGGGAAATGAATTTGTGTTGGGCTGGGCACGGCCTCCCTCGAACCTCCTGGTAGTCCCAGGCCCCGCAGCCCCTGGCAGAAGGGGCCGTGCCGGGGCTCTCGGCCCATCCCTGGTACCCAAAGGGGGGGTGATGGGGACCACGGAACCAGGAGCTAAACCAACCTGGGGACGAGGCTGCTAACCTCCAACCTGGGGCTAACCTCGGGAGGGAAAGGGGAAAACGCAGGGGTCAGCAGCCAGTGGGCTACCGAGCCCCTGCCACAGAAGGGTGAGGACAGGGCCTGGACCTGCACTGGCCTCTGGGCTCTCACCAGCTCTACCCTTAGCCACGACTACTGAGAGGCTGTCTGGCATACAGAGAGAGGAGGAAGCTAAGTAAAAAGTGATGCTTGCCAGCTCTGTGTATCCTCCACCACCGGTGTGCTAGAAGAAATCCTTACCCTCGAGTGAACATTTGGAAATTTAGTGATATTATTCTTCTTTAGGGCTAAACAGAAGAAAAAAAAAAAAGAAAAAAAACAAACACAAAATGATGGTTAAGTAAAAATGGGATGGAAAATGAAGAGCAAGTCAACTCAGCGTTCAAAGATCCGGGCACGTTAGCCAACAGAGCACCAGGAGGGGTAAGGCCGAGGCTACGAGAGGAGGTTAGACAAGGAGAGGAAAGGACAAGAGGGCCACCCTTGCCTCTTGCTAACCAAATTCCAAGCTGCTTTGAAGATTGGCTCCAGGAAGATAACACAGCAATTAACTTGAAAGAGCAAATAATTGTTGAGCTGATTATAGTTTGCAATTTTATTAGAAGCATTCATAAAAATACACATGGCAAAGTGAAACACTGTTGTCTTCTTAAGCCACTCGATCCTTAATTCAAGACAACAGTGTTAACAAACATGCGGGGTTAAACACACCCTTCTTACACCTTACACCACAAGATGTAAATTGCTCAGTTCCATGTCAAGCTTTTCATCGTCACAATTTCCCTGCTTCTGGCAAATAACTGAGTTTCCCCAGCGTTGCTGCCTCCGTCTCCCCCCGTTCGTGCTGAGCCCACCAAGAGCACTGGAGCTGGGTAATGCTCCATAAACGTTTCTGATTTTAGATAAAGTTGGCATGGAACTGAAAAAAGTTAAACGTGGATGTGACCGAATGAGAGGAGACTCGATGCTGTCCGTTTCATTCCGTATCTGGCATGCAGGCATGCAGGTGCTGGTTAGAAAGTCGGAAACAAACCGCGGCTCCTTGCAGAGGACGGACATTGCTACGGACAACCCCTCCAAGCCAGAAAGCAGAGCCCACGAGAGTCCCCTTTGGTTCATGCAGACCGTAACTCTGCGTGGCACACAGCCCACTTATTACATGCGTATTAAATATGGAGACCTGCAGACAGGGAGGAGCTGTAGGCCATAGAAAAGACAAGTGAACCGTCACCGCGCGGCTGCGTTTGGCCCCTGAGCCTTGCCAGCCCCCACCACGCTGCCGTGACTTCCACCACTTGCTGTTCTATGGCACTTGTCATGAGGATTAGAGATGCCTTTGAGGTGCAAGGATGGCCAAAAGCATCGAAGACAAAGTCGATGGGATGGAATAAAAAGTTAGGGCAGGACGAGAGCATGCAACGATGGTGACAACAAGACAACTTGAGGCGGACGCCGGACGTTACTATACACTCAACATTCACATGGTCCTGGCTGGGGTCCGTACAAATGGAGAAGTGTCAAAAATCTACAGCAACCTTTTTTTTGTCTAAGAGCATCAGATGTGAAAGAGGAATAGTTTAGTAATGGAATTCCTCAGTGAGAACAGGTTCGCAGAAAAACCGAGAGCCACGCTTGGCGGTTCGAGCTGTAAAGGGCACAGTCTTCAGCACTGCATGGGAATAACAGCCAAACAGACAAACAGAGCAGTGAGGAGCAGGATCTGTCGCATTAGTACACTGTTAGTGCTTGGTTAAGGACATCCAGGAACGGTTTGACATGTTCCCATCAGCTGTCTCATGACACTACCAGCATTTGGGCACGAGGCAGTTCTAAGTCTCTGAGTATTTCTCATACTACACAGTTTTCAATGGTTTTGAAAGCCTATTGCTAAATGGAGAAGCCATCACTCCAGAAAGGGCTGTGGTTTCTGACAGTGGCCTGTTCCAGACCAGCAGGGCTTTTCTGTGTGCCTCATGAGGCACTAGCCAGTTCTACTATTTCCTTTTGACTATTTCCATACCATTGATAAAGATCTTGCAGGCCATATTCAAGCTCTACCTGACATTCGGTGCCTTCCCTGTGTTATTACATGGCCTGAGGCCCTCAGAGCCAGCCCTGTAATAGAAATGCTGGACACAGGACCATAGGAAATGCTGGGGTTATTTGAGTCTGGCCCTCCCTGCACTGGACTGCCATTTGCATGTGGATTGTCACCTCTCCCACAATCTGTTTCCCCCACAGAGCAGGAGAACCACTTTGTCAACTCTTTGAGTTTCAAGGAGTCTGGAGGAGTTGCAGAAGCAGTCAGCTATTAGATATTACAGCAAGTCTGCCTCCTAGAGACTATTATCTTAGGAAGCCATTAATCAAAGTTAAAAAGAGTTGTGAAAGCTTCAGCAAAAGCGTTTCAACCCTGTCATCTCGTTGGGCAAAAATTCTCTGGCTTTCCTTACTGAGAGATAAAACAGCTCTCCTCCCCTCCTGCAGGAAAAAATGGCATGGAAAACATTCAGGAGAAGGAGCCAAGGAAATCCTGCCCAAAGGCCTTTTTCTGAGTTTCTGTGCAACAGAAATAAATTACTGTACAGCTATCAAAGTGTTAAAATCATGTTTCTTCCACATCACAGGGGAAGAACACGCACTAAAATCCATGTACCACAATCAGAGGAGATGTATGGATAAAAATTACTTGTCTCCTGAGCAAAGTACAATTTAGACGACAGCTCTATCAGCAAACGTTTGCACACAGTGTCCCGGCTGTCTCTGGCTGTGCCAGCGGGTTCTGTGCCTCTCCCTGTGACCCTAGGTTGGTGATCAGTGTGGGCTTTGTCTAACAAACTGAAAAGCAGTAAAACCAGAAGCAGTTTAGGGTCATAAATCATTCAGGTTTGACTAAATGATTTGCTGTAACTGTGCAATAATGTGCTGCAATTACTGTTAGTACATTTTAATGAAAATGTAGGCTCTTAATAATGTTAAACATCCATCATTCATTCCACTTAAGGGTAAAAAAAAAGATTTCTGGGAAAGATCTGCATGGCATGCATATCGCCACCGGAGTATCTGCTGAGGTCAGGCACTGAGCTGCCTACTCTAGTATCAGCCTGAGTGGGTCCCAACATGCTGAGAGAAGAGCGGAGAAACAGAGCACATGTCCAAGGCCTGTGCTTGTCACAAACTCGGGCAGCACTGACAGTGGACATGTAAAAGCAAGGTATTGGGGTTTTTGTTACGTACCAGTAGCGTAAGTTTCTACATTTGATTCACATCAAGTAAACAATTTCCTAAGCTGTGCTCCAGTAACACTCCTCAAGAAGTACATAAAGCACTTACGACAGCTACTAGGCAGATACACATTTCTGTCCTTTGGGAAAGGGCCTCTGGGACTGTGGAACAAAGTGGGTTTACCTGTTATAATGTCTTCGATAGCACCATCCTTCCCTTCATACACATGCCTATTATCCTTGACTTGCCGCCGTCTGAGCTCTGCAATTAGCTCTTGCTGCTGTCTCTTTGTTTTATGTGAAGGAGACTGAAAGCAAAGAAGAGAGGATTTGTAAGGCTTGACCTCCAGTTACCCTGTTCCTCTTTTCCTGAACATTTCAAATACCAGGTGATCCCACTTGCAGCAACCAACAAAGAGGAACTGCCAGTTTTCTATCCAATTTTGCAAGACCAGGAAAACCCAAGGCCGGGGTGAGCTCACATCCCAAGGAGAGGAAGGCCAGAGCCACAAGTTCCCCTGGCTGCCAGGCTGTTTTTCTTTCTTACATTTGTCATTTAGTTCCAAGCCTTCTCCTCACTTGAAACTGAAACTCCAACCTTTTACCTCTGAAAAGCATGAAGGGAATGAGAACAGGCTTTCCTTTCCCAGGGAAAATGCCTGGCTGGGATTAAAGATACCTGTTAATGACAAGAGCTGTGTGAAGCAGCATCAATCACCGAAGCAGCCATTGTAGAGCCATGGGAAACCTCCTACAGCAAATCTAAAGCATTAGCTCCGGAAAAAAAGAGGTCAGGAAAATTCCTACAAAATGGTAACACGGGGCTGACTCCTGCTGCCACGCTCTAAAAGGGAGAGACCTGGGAAGGAACGTTACGTGTCCCTGCAAGAAGGGAGGCTCTGCATAATTCATACAGGCGGGATTTCAGACAGATAAAAGGCCAAAGCAGAAAAAAAAAATAGCCAACAGCAATATGGGCCAGGTGACTTTCTGTCTGTTCAGTTTTCTTGAATTTTGCAAATGTCAAAGTAGCATAACTGTACACTTGGATTCCTTTGGCCCAGTTTGGTTTTCTCCCCATAAGGAAAAAAACTTCTCAGGACTACATTTCTGGGCAACTGTAAGTCTAGACAACCTAAGTTCTTACACAGGGCTGTGGTTTCTGAATTCTCAGGAAAACACGAACATGATGGCTCCAGCCTGTGGTTCATACCTTTTGGTCCTGTTGCTCCATCAGTGCTTCTTGTTCCATAAGTTTTTCCATTAAGGCCTGTTCCTGCTTTTTTCTCAACTCATTCTCTTCTTCTGCTTGCTATTTATCACCCACAACAAACAAACAAACAAAAAAAAGCAGGTTATAGCTTCAAATTGCCACAGAGAACCTAAATATTAAAAATAAATAACCCAATCATTTGCTACCACAGGACTTTCCAAGAAAACAAGCTTAGGGTGTAGCAATTTAACTACCTCGAAACAAAGTCTGAAAAAATGGGCTGGGAGAGACCTCTCTGGGTCACGCAACCTCCCCCTCCCAATCCCAAAAGGCGCATACTCAGGGTTAAAGGTGCAAACTGCAGCCTCCCAGACATTCAGTGTCTGAGGACTCCTCCAGCGTTTCAGACAGCTGTATTGTCTTTCAGCCCTGAAAGTAATCCCAAAACAACTATTTGTGCTGCCTCCGGCGGTGTTACTGTGCTCTCTAGGACAGCTCATGCTGCATCAAAGCTAGAGGGAGCCACAAGCTGTTGTGTTGGGAACCCTGAGCCACACGAGTCCCAAATAAATGTTGAGGATGGAAGAGAAGATGAGGATGCTCCTGCTCACCTTGTAGGCCTTCACAAATCGGACAAACACCGGGAAAAAGACTGAGGGGGGCGTTGTCTTGGGATTCTCCCCGAAGTACTTCACAGCATCATCAAAGGCATCCTACAAAAAGCAGACGGTGACTGTGCTGCACACACTTCATGATATACTCGCCAGCCGTTACTGCAGAACTCAGTGTAAGGGTCTACATCTCCTCAGGGTGTGAAACTCTTGGCTGACACCAGCACATCTACATCTAGCACATGAACTCAGGGACAAATCCACACAACTGCTGCTCCTTTTTGCAGTGACATGCTGCTGGTCACTCATGGGCTAAAGCCTGCCTCAAAAGGGAGCATGAGGGTTTGAACCACAGAGTTTGTTGAGAAGAACATCTGTAGGGTTATCACCAGGCTGACAGAAGAACATCTGTAGGGTTATCACCAGGCTGACAGAGGTAAGATACATCTGCAGCCTGAAGAAAAAATGCTAGGAAAATACTAGCACAAGCAAATAATCTAAACTCAGTCTCACCATGAAGAAGGAAGTTGGTTAGTATGTGTGAGGATAACAGTATGTGTGAGCACAACAGCATGGAGGAGGTTTTTTTATACACCACGACAGGCCAACAAATCTTCATTCCACAAGTAATGGCCATTTTACACATTTAAACCAGAATGGAGGGGAACCTGGAGAGTGCCTCCTCACTCAAAGCACAACCAGCTGCAAACTAGTCTGGCTTCAGCAGAAAACACCTGTGTGTGCGCAGACAGTGTTCTGCTTTTTGCATCATTCAAACCCCTGTGCCAATCTCCATGAATTACGAATTACCTGGGCTATTTTGGCATCATCCTGCAGCTTCTTCAGCTTTCCTTCATTGTTCTGAATGAACTCCTTCAGCATCGTGTTGTGGTCGTGCATGGTGTACTCACGCTTCGTCAGGTCCAGGCCCCTCTGGAGCTCTTTCACGTCCAAGAGGACATTTTCAAGAGACACTAGGAAACAAAATGAAATCGTTGAACCACTCCTGCTCCGCAAGCACCCAAACCCACAGCATGAACAGCTCCTCGCCAAGAAGTGCCCCCAAACACAGCGGTGTGTCACACAGCCTGTGTGGCTCACCCTGAAGTCCCTCACACAGCCACGTGTGCCTGCTGCACCAGCACTGCCACCACCACTCCCGGGGCACAGGAGGTCACTGCTGTGACAGGACAGTGACAGCACCAATCCCTGTGCCCGCAATAGCTCAGCCAGCCTGCTGACACTGAGAATTCAGCATCTTGTCCCACACTGGCTTTACTACAAGACCAATTTTTGCACGCACATTAAACCACCTGTCTTTATTTTTCGGATGGTCCCAGTGGTTACAGTACCTGCAGCAGCCTTCTCCACGTAATGGAGCTCGTTGTAGAAGAGGGATACGTGCTGGTACTTCTCCTTGACAACATTGGAAATGTAGTGCAACAGGGTTTGCTTTCGGTCTGTTGACTTTGTTTCTAAGAGCTGGGGAGAAAAGGCAAAAAGATTGCTGGGTTAAGGTGCAGCGGACACCAAACAGAGTGACTGAAGTGGTGTTTGCTTTTTCCTGGTGTTTCTCCACCCGACAAGGACAGCTACAAACGCCCCTGTAAGTGTTTACTCGGTGGTTTTCAAACTGTGGACTGCAAAGCCTCTGAGGATTTGTGTCCTTCTCCTGAGGGGCCTCCAAAATGATGATAAGCCAAGTAAATTCATACGGTGTGGTGGGAAGGCTGCCTTTACTGGCTGGAAAGCCCTCGTTGAGCCCCCAGGCAGCCAGCAGCCACTGTCAGCTTACAAGAAATGCATCACAGCCTGTGCCCCCACACGGTACCGGCCCCATCACCTCCAGTTTACTCACCAGGTCTAAACTCTGTAGTTTAAATCCATACACAGCTCCTCGCTTACTGCTGTTCATGTAGTTACCGAGAGCCAAGATTATCTGCCAGAAAGAAACAGAGCAGAACACGAATTTTCAGGACAAATGCACAGCGTCTGTGCAACCTCTGAAAGGAGAGTTTGTGTGTAGGCATCCATGCATGCTTCCAGCACACACACGGGGCGAGTGGTTGAGCTATTGAACGTAACCAAAATCAGACCTACCTCCAGGATTTTCTTAAGCTTTTGGGACGACTTTATTGAGACAGACGCAGCTATTATTGCGTGAAGTTGCTGCAGGTAAACACAGGAAGAGGGTTAGTTAATGCACATCAAACCCCAAAGTAAAATTAAAATTCAACACACTCACATTTTGGAAAAAAAAAACTAGTTTTGATCTATCCAGTGGGCCCTAGCATGAATGTTACCCTGCCCTGGCATGTCAGGATTTCAAATAATTCATTTGCACTGCAGATTTAGCACATTCAGATGTGGTTGAGTAAAACTGTCTTTACATTTCAGTCCTTATTACTGTGAAAGATGCATCAGACTGGATGGGACACACATCAAAGAGCTCCTAGCCCAGCACTGATAGTAACTTTTTCTGATGACACAAACAACAAGATTTTTATTTAAACTGGTTTTAAACTTCTACAGGGAAAAAGAAGGATGATATGGAGCAGCCCAGCATACAGGCTGCCATACAAAGAGCACCTGAGATCTCTGAGCCATTGATAAATGAAAACATAGCTAGAAAAACACTTTTTTCATTCATGTAATCATTTCTCAATCTGCCTCCGTGAGAACTCATAATCACTCCATGACACTCAAACCATCTCTTAGAAAAATTAAGGCCTCTATAACCTTCACTGGCTGCCCCACGCCTGCATGTGGCTGCAATGCTCCCCGCAAGCTTGACTCGTGCCACAGAGAGCAACTCTCATGTGGGGGCTGATGCCTCAGGGAACCCTGTTCCTGCACAGCTGATGCATCACAGGGGCATCTCCGGGGGTTGTCTCCTGCTCACCGGGGTCAGCATCTGGATGCTTTCTGCGAAGTTGCCTATGAAGGCCATGATGGTCATTTTCTGCATCAGCCTCTCGATCTTGCTGAACTGCATCATGAAGCGGTCTTCGTCGGACAGGTTCTCGATGGGTTTCCTTTCCCTCTCGTAGAGCCGCAGCACTTTCACTTCGTTCTCGGTGGGCAGGAACCGCATGAGGCATTCCACGAAATCCACTGGTAGCGTTTTCAGGTCAAACCTGGGGGATAACAAAAAGACAGAGGAAGCGGTGTCACAACAAGGGTCTGCCTGAAGTGACGGACAAGTAAAAGAAATGAGAAAGCTGCCAGTGGCACAACCTCTGCCTCCTACACTGCTCAGCTACACATCAGCTAAAGCAGTGAGAAACTACAAAGACGCTGTGATGCTACCCCTGCTCGTGTTGCCCTGGCTGGGGTGAGGGACACAGCCCTGCACATGAAGCTGCCTGCACGTGAAGGTGTGAACAAGGTAGCACTGAACAGATGACACAGACAGAAGTGCTGAAGGGAACGCTGCTGTTTGGCATCTTCTTTCTGTTTTGAACGACGTGCCCAGTGCCCCCACCCCTGCATGGCCACATCTCCTTTTTATCAAAGATGTGCTGGGAGGAACAAAGAGCTGTTTTACACAACTGGGCCAGAGCCCCGTAAGCCCTGGAGCTGCCTCAATCCACAGCAGGTTTGTGTGACTCTCCTCCCCAGGCCCAGTGAAATGCTTGTCCTTGCAAATTTTGCAGATCTCACTTTGAGAGAAATAGCAGATGTTTGGCCACGACCACCACCAGGTTCTGAACGACTCCAGCAGCAGCCCAAAGGAGCAGGTCCACCTGTGCTCAGAACGGAGCTGGCAGCCCAGGCTCTGTGCCACCAGGGGACAGGGCAGAGCAGAATTCCCCTGCCCCGTCTGTGGGATACACCTGTATCACATCGGGGCTTGGCACTGCGTGGGGCGATTACGTAAAGCTCATTGCATGCAGGAGGCTTCCAGTGCACTTGGGCTGAACTCGTGCGTTACGGAGCGCACGGCGATAGCTGCCTGCCCCTGACACCCTGGGCTCTGAGCGTGCACTGGAACAGAAAGCATCGTGTAAACAGGAGGAGAGACTCAGCGTGCAACGGCACACAGCGGATACACAGGAATTAGGCTCTTTAACAAAAGACGTGTTAATTTGTTAAGCCTATAGAGTGATGCAGCAACATAAAGCTGCAAGTTAACATACTGCAGTACAAGGGAAGCTGATTTGTGGGAATTCAGAATGGTTCCATCCTTACTCTTGGATTTTTTCCAGATGCAGAAACATTTACATCAACTGCCAATTCCAAACCATTCCACTTACCAAAAACCACAGTAAATCTTGACTATGACTTCTTTGCTGACAAGTGTTTTACTTACACATGAATAGCTTTGCATATTTCATCTGCCGTCTTTCCAGCTTTCCTTAAAGTAATGGCAAGGTTTTTGGCCCTGTTCGCATCCAGTAACGTGACTTTGTTCGACCCTTTCTGAGTTATTTTTTGCTTGCTTGAAGTCAGATCAATGGCTGGACCTTGGGCTTTTGTTTTGAATATTTCTTCAAATTCATCCACGTTTAAATCCTAAAAAGGAAAGGACATGATTTATCCCTCCTGCAGCAAACCCCACAGCCCGCACTGCCTAACAGTGGGCCAGAGCTGCAGTAAAGCCCTGTGGCTGCTGTGGCTGCAGCAGAGAACTGCAGGCTGTGGCTGCAGGGTGTAGAAAATGTGTTCCCAAGCTAGTAATCAGGAAATTTGGCCTCCACCCCAAATAGTCCACGCAGCTATGTGCATCTTCAGGGCACAGGGTCCACGCAACACCTGAGTACTCAGCCCTGCTCTGTGCTGCTTTAGGCTTTTTTCCCCGGCATGCAGCCAACACGTGCCCAAACCCACCAGGCTGGAGCAGCAATTTTAGGCTGGGAAAACCAAATCTTCCTCGTTGGATCTGCTTCAAACAACTGCACATAATAGGTGTGCACCTTTTATAATCAATACCAGCAGCTACAAGGACTCCTTACTGGGTACCACAGGCCACTGATGAGCTGTTTGCCAAAACCTCTCTCCGCAAAAGCCAATATTGACTCAGGGTATGGACAGAAGTGGGAAGCAGAAGCCAGCAGACAGCACTCGTACCTCCAGGATCCTTTCGTCATCTATTTCGTTGAAGACTGTCCCATTGATCTGGTTGGGTTTGAGGGCGACCCAGTTGAACACTGGCATGCGGAACTTGGTCTTGATCGGCTTCTTGATTTTCACAGCTAGAGACACCAGAGGAAAGGAAACGATTAATTCCCTGACAGCTGAATAACGCCCCGTGAGCCCTGGGTCAGGCCCAGCGTTTGCAGGATGGGAAGCTGCAGCTGAGGACACCTTTCCTCAGCGATGTGGAGGGAGGGTGTGCTGCTGGCAGCCGATGGGTCATGAAGTTCAACCAAAGCCAGGGGACGAGAAGCAGAGAAGCCCCTCTCCCCAGGTCTTGGTACCCTGCTGCAATGGGGCAGTGCGGCTTCAGAAGGGCCAGGTTTGTCCTTTAAAGCCCAAGGGGTGGGCAGGACACGAGAGCTTTCACCCAGCTGAAGTAATGGGTCTGGTCTTCTCGGGTTGTGCAGCATTTGTGTGCTCCAGTAACTTACACAGAGAAGCTACAGGAAATGAAGGTTAACGACTGCCAATAATCAGTGAACAGAGAACAAAATAATGCTGGGGCAAGGAAAACAACACAACTCTGCTGCTATTCCTCCAGAAGTGCAGGGTACATCAGTAATTTTGGTAATTCGGTGCTCATTTCTGTGTATGTTGATGTACACACAGTGGTGTTAGTCACTACAAAATCGGGATGTTCATTAATCAACCAACGTGTTGATCCAAAATCCTTTAGAAAATGAGCCATTTCTATCCAAGTCTTGGCTCCTTCCCACCCTGCATTTGTAGTGGGAGGAATCTTGCTCATTTTTTGATGCTGTGTAGAGATGTTAGGTTTTTTTTCCCCGTGATTTCAGAAGATGGATTTCCCAGCTTGCATAGCACTTGAGCAAATAATTATTTTACTTTTGCCTAGCAAGTCTGTGAGCACATTTTGGGCAGGACAGAGGCCACCTGTTTCAGGGGACACTCTCCTGTTGTGCACTGGAGCCAGGTGAACGACAAGAACACTTCTCTCACTTTGTCCTCCCACTTCTAAAGGAATTGAGCCGTGCATCTGTGTACCTTTCGGGCTCATGCCCATATTGCAGGGACACTGCAAAGAATAAATTACTGGCAAGACAATTTGCTCGAAACAAAGAACCATCAGCGAGTAACAGGGAACATGCACAATATTCAGCCTGGAAGTCTGTATTTTGAGAAATACGTTCACCCAACTGGAAGACATGACCACGCATGATAAACTTCTGCTCATCTAAACCAGTTTTGCTCTTTGTACAATTAATGTGTTTACCTAAATAATTCCTAAAATAAAAAAGACTTTTTTTCCAAGCTGAAACATCCATGAAAAAAACATTTTCATCTGATGCATACATTAGAATAGATTAGTGACTGCTGCTGGGTTATTTCAGGACAGGAAGGGAAACGAACTGCCTCGTGAGCCAGCTCCCACCTCGGCTAATCAAAATCCCCTAAAAATTCCCTTCCTCCTCCCTTACAGAGACCCAGCAGCAGCTGGCAAGGCCCCTGGGAGCCGCACCACTGAGGGCAGCACAGTGGGGACATGGTCCCAGCAGGGTACAGACGCCAAGGAAGGCATCTGCAACTGGTGGAGGCTGCCCAGTCTCCGTGCTTCAGCCTTTTTGGGGAAAAAAACCTATCCTTGATGTGAACGGTGTAAAGAGCGCAGCTGGAGGACAGCTCCAAAGAAACCACACATCTTAATTACTTGCTGAAGTGCTTTGCTGAATCAGGGCCTCCAAGTGGCCAAATCCTGCTGGCTGGCAGCACCCTGAAGCCAACACGTGCTCCTGCTCCACCCAGCGCCCCTCTGCAGCAGCCTGCACCCCCCCTCCACCTCCCGGACAGGGACACACAGGGCACAGCACGGAGGGACAGAGGGAGACAGGGGAGAAGAGAGTTAAATACTTAGCAGAGAGCAACCTACAGAAGAGCTTGATTGGCCCGTCTAATCAGGAAGCAGAAAGAACAGAGAAAAAAATGTTAGTGATGGTCAGAACAGCAAGGCTCAGCGCTCCACCGCTCCCCCTCCAACCCCGCAGGGACTGTGCTGAGCAGCCCCCGCACCCGAGGAGCACTGCAGCACGGCTCGCTCTGCTGCTCCGTCCCCGCACACCACGAGGACACCAGGCTGAGGCAGGGGTCTTCTCCACGTGGAAAGACCTCTGGAGAACCAGGCTGGCCCCGCAGAGGCAGAAGGGAGCGCCTGCTTGCAAGCTTTCTGCTCTGCTCCTCCAGCCACGGTGCCAAGCAGCATTGCACGCTGCAGGACCACTGCACTGCTCTGAAACCCACTGGGGACACATTAACCCCTAACCTCATCCTTTCTTCTTTTTTTTTTTTTAATACACTCTGGGACCCACCAATTCCATGATGCTTTTCAGTTTCAGAAAAAAAAAAAAAAAAAAAAAAAAAGGAAAAAAAAAAGACTTTAAAGGCTGGAATCTGGAATACTTAATTAGGCTGAAAAAAAAAAAAAAGCTAAAAGCTATTAATCAGACCTTCTCAGTCTCTGGAATCATAATGTACTCTTGAGATTTCCTGCAGGGGAAGGGGTGTGATACTAATTAACATTCACTTGCTGTGTGAGATGCTTGGCATATGATAGAGAGAGCATAAAAACATGATGGAAGATGGGTCAGGAAATTTATCTTCCTTCCAAAATAATTACAAAAAGTTTGCCTTTTTTTTTTTTCACAGATATTTCTTCATCATGTTCTGAGAAGAAATCAAAACCATGAAGCTTTGCATTTCTTTCAAAACCATATTTTGTTCACTTCAGGCCAAAAATGATGATGTTAGAAAAATATTTCTGGCAACAGCTTCAGTTTCGCTGAAGAAGTCATCTCTCATAGACCAAACCAAATCTGTTTGATTGATAAATGATCTTTCCTTTCGCAAATCCCTCTAAGTACAATACCAGATAGAGATAAAGAGTATTAGTTAGGCGACTAAGAGAAAAGAAGCCCCACCTCAGTATCCTGTCCCCTCCAGTCCACACGCCCTGGCCTTGCCTTTGCTCACTTTGCAGGCAAACCCTCAGCACGCTGGGGAAACGCAGGGGAGTTTTACCTGCAAGCCCTGAGTTGAAAACCACGGTGGGAGAGGCTGTCCCGGGCAGGGGGGGAGCTGACGGCGGGGGCGGCGGGGGCAGAGGAGCTGCAGGAGCGGTCTCCAAGGCTGGACCTGGGAGAGGAGGTGGCGGCGGCGGAGGTGGTGGTGGAGGCGGGGGTGGAGGCGGCATTGGCACCGTCACAGGGCCGTTTTGCACTAAAAAATGGAGAGAAGAGAAGAGGCACTGCCATGAAGAGAAATCAAAACATCATGAGCTGCTGCAGAATAACTCGCAGCAGGGCCCACCGCCCTCCTTGTCCCTACCATCGGTGGTTTTTTGGTGTGAGGCCACCAAGCCTGACCCCAGGCACAACAAACACCCAGCTCTCAAGCTCCCGGCCAGCCCATATTTTGGGGACGTGACGCTTCTTACCTGCCTCCGATGCTGCTGCTAAGGCTGGTAATGGTGGTGGAGGTGGTGGCAAGGGGACAGAAGTTGCGGCTCCAGCAACCGGTGTGACACAGGCGCCAGCCACAGCCTCTGAGCCTGCCGGCACCATCCCGGAGGCCAGAGCCACAGGGAGAATAGAGATGTCACCATCGCCTTTCTTCTGGATCTTAATGGTCCCCTGCTTCTCCAGTTCATGGATCTTCTTCTCCAGCGTTGACTGTCGCTGGATGGCTTCTTCTTTTTCCTTCACCATTTTTCTCAAGGTGTGAACCTGGGTATTTGCATCCTTGTAGATTTCCTGTGAATGCCACACAAACACGGCATTTGCAGCTTTATTCACAAAACAGAATACCAATACCAGCAACAGAAGGCAGCCTGACACCAGACCTTGGGCTGTACCAGGCATTATCTAACGAAGCATTTTAACACAAACCATACATTTTCATTGGGGAGGAAGGCCTCCTTTTTGTTTTTCCCACACTAGAGGTAAGGCTGTGTGCAGTACTGCGTCCTATGCACAGATGTGCTCTACCTTGATTTTAACTCAGGGTATCTGATGCCTTGCTGGTTGCTCGTTGTTTATGAGCAGATATTGACCCATAAGGCGTCTCCCCTCCTGATCAAAAAGTCTGGATTGTGCACAGAAAGCAGGCTGTGCTTGATGCTGTGCTTGATGCTGTGCTACCCGAGTCTCAAAGACTCCAGTTCCACCTCAAACCCCCCTCCGGAGCCAACCACATGTGCAGAACTCAACCAGCAACGCTACAGACCTGTGCAATAGGATGTGCTTGTCTTTTGCTGGCACACTCAGAGCGTTAAATGTCCATCTCTGAGAGCACAGACAAATAAATCTACTTGAAATCTGTTCTAGGTTCCAAATTAGAAAGCTGACGGAAATTGCTCAACCCATTACAACAGTCATTACCTCCCAGACAAGAAATGCACAGCAGATCCCTCCGCTGAGACGTGGCATCAGCCAGAGCCCTCCTATCGCACTTACCCGAATCACATCCAGTTCTTTGTTTCTTTGCATGAGCTGTTTTTCCAGTTCCACAATCTTTGCCATAGCTTCATTCTCCGTATCTTGGAGTTTTTCAGATAACTATTGTACAACAGAGAAATGAATTATATAAGTAACAGTAGCTTTCTCAAGCAAAATGTCAGCAACACTTGCTGGAAAGAGCAAGGGGTCCTGCATGGAGGAGGCAGGTGGCATCAAGGGCAGATGATGAACATTGTCCCTCAGCAATTGATTTATTTTTATTTTTTACCAAGGGGTCTGAAAAGCCATGAAGTTCGTGCTGGCTTTTTTCCATTACCACTAATCACTCCGATTCAGGCAAGGTTGGTGAAGGCTGTACTGCTCGCTGCATTTTTGAGATTAAAATTTGCAATTCTATTATTAATTTTTCTGTCAACACATAACAGAAAATTATGTCCATACTCCTGGGGTTAGTCTAGTTTATGTAACAGGAGATCAGAAGTCAGCCCTTAACATTTTGCCACCAAGGTAAACCAGTTAAGTTTCTAAACAGTGGAAAGGAGATCTGCGAAGCAACCCGTGCCATTTCCACCACATCATTTTTCTCTAGCAGAAGAGCACCTCAAGAGTGGCAGATACTGCACGGGAAGGGTTTTTTTAACATATTTATTCTAAGTGATGGCCACATAGGACTGGTAGTAGAATAACCCTTTCTTAAAGTATGGAAAACACTTTTATTTAATATAAAACAGCCAAGCCACAGTTTCTGGACTAAAGTGACTGACACCAAGAAGAGATGGGACAGAAAAGCCATGAGCAAACACCAAATATCTGCACACTGCTATTTTTCAGTCTATATTACTAAGCACTTGCTTCCTTTAAGGCATCAGAGCACCTATCTGCTCCGCACCCACCCTCCTCCAGCACGGGACACGGCCCTGCCCCAAGGATTCAGCAGGAGCCCCTGGCAGTGGTCTCACTCCACCTGCCTGCCCCCATTCACACATCCTTGCTGTGAGTCCTGGAAGCCACACAGAGCTTTCGCTGTGTTTTTACAGTCAGAGATCTTTATCTGTTCTATTTACTGGTACTGAGAATTTGCTATGGAATTTGCCGTTTCTACATAAATTAGCTTCCCCAGCTCACAACAACGCTTTGCAGTCCCTCTGTGTGCCCAGTGCCTCTCTGCTCAGCAACTCCATGTGGAGACAATTCCCCCCCCCTTGGCCCACCACTAAAATATGCAGCATATGAGGTTCAAAATGCACCATGGAAGCACCCAGGAAGTTCACCTGCCTGAGACTTCCAAAATTCCTTCATTTGCCAAATACCTTTTCATCCCCCATAAAGAAAGCACAGTAGCCCACAGGCTTCCTTTAAATTAGTGCTCCTCACCCCAAAGGTTCTAGCCCCTGCTATGCTTTTATGTCCACCTCCTGAAAGAAAGGGGCAATACCAGAGCCCCTGTGCAGAGCAGGCTCTGCACCACTCCAAAAAGTGACTTCAGTTTTGTACTAACATGGGAAATATTTTCTTCCAGTTCTTCAACTCTTTCCAGGGCTGCATTCTTGGTTTCAGCGTCCTCCAGTAATGCTCCCACGTCGAAAACGTTATCCAGGTAAGCTTGAATTTGCACCTGCAGTTTGTCGCTCTCCGTGTGTTTCAATTTCTGTAAACCCCAAAATAAAAAGCCGTCACTCAGCACAGGCAGCGATTTGAAGCAAGATAATTGCACACAGTGAAAAGGGGAGGGAGAACAGTGGGAGCCTGGCCACTTCCAACATTCAGGAATTTTAACATTTTAACAACACTCTGCATTTTAACATTAGCTGGGGTCAAAATTGAGAAACAGTCATTTCTGAAGACCAAACATCCAGAACTTTCAAATAAAAATGAGCATTGTCTCATCTTCTGTTACTACAGAGGGTACCACTGCTCTCCTCCATGCCCCAGCCCTGCAGCCAGCACAGAGAGGTGAAGCCAGCACTCGTGGCCAGGCACAAAGCAGCCTCATGGCCCAGAGCGAACCCTCCCCTTGTCTTCACTCACCTCATGTTGGGCTGGCTTGCCACATTCAAAATGAGCTCATTTTATCTCAAAAGAAAACATCAGAGCGCAGTTTCAACCATTCTGCCTGTTTCTGAGGATACTCTAGTATTTGGGGCAGCCCTGGACCCCAGACAGTGCCATGCTGGTACCAGTGTGTACAATTATGGCAGACCCTGAGGCAGTGCCCGTCCCTACCATCTCCACGCAGCGAGTGCCTCCAGGCACGGTGCTCGCAGCCTGAGGCCGAAGGTCAGAGTGCGGCCTGCACCATGCAGGGCCACGCCACTGCCACAGAGAGCGGCTGTGGTTCATCCTCGCCTTGTTATCAGACGAAGCTACCAATTTAGCTCCCGGTCTGTAATTCCAGCTCGCAGCAGTGGGTTTTTCTCCCCTCGCGGCAGGGTGGCTCCAGGCCGCAGCCCTGTCAGCCCCCGAAGCACGGCGGTTTCAGCACAGGCTGTGGGGCCGCCCTGTGCTGCCCTCCTGAAAGCTGTCGGTGGCAGCACGTTTGGGGCAGCAGGAGGCTTGGCCTCCTCATACTGCCTCCCTGCTGCCCTCAGGGCACAGGCAGGAGCAGCCCAGCTCTCTGAGCAAAGCCCACACGTGCCAGCAGCCCCACGCTGCAAATACGCTCACCCGTCTGGTGAGCGCCAGGAACCTGCCCATACTCACGTCCAAGTACTCGTCCAGGCCCAGTTTTGTAAATTCATACTGCAGGTGGACTCGGAAGTTCATGTCCTCCACCGAGTGGACCACGATGTTGATGAACTGCATGCAGGCCACCTGCAAGAGGAACCATCACGGGTCAGCACGGCAGGGCACACAGCGCCAGTGACCGCACTTCGTTACGGCTGCTGCCAAGGGAAACTGTGATTTGCTGTTCTGCAGCTTTTTTTTTTTTTTCCCCATCAGCTTGTTTGTCTGTTGTGATAAAGGGAAACACGGATTCCAGCAATTAAGTCATGTCTGTGGAGCCTACCTTTATTGCACGCTGGTTGGCTTGCCGTGCCAGCTCGCACTGCGAGACATCACACAAGCACACAAGTGCTTAAGAAAACAATGCCGTGTTCCAAAACTGCCTTTAAAAGTGAGATTAATTTTTCAACTGGAACCCGTAAGTTGGAAAGGGGGACTTTACAAAAGGTGCTTTGTTATTTGCAGAAAGCGTGTTTTAAAATCTGTGGTTTGGTAACTGAGCAAGGGCCCAGACCATAGGAGCTGGCACGCCACCACGTCCGAGCACAGCACAGACAAGACAAAGGCCCTGGAGTGAAGGGGGCCGTGAGCCCTAGGAGCAGCAGGGCAAGCCGCCTGCAGAAGGGCAGGAATCGGGCCAGGAACCCCACAAAGGTTTGCTTTTTATGGGAAAATAAGGCACAGCCAAATCCCACTCTGCACATCCCTTGCTCTTTCAGCTCTTGGGTGACCACCTCTGTGTCGCTCCCTGAGCGGCTCTGAGAGGGTTTGCTTCATCCTTGACGTGTCCCTCTAGGCCATAAGCCAGTCCTGCTGGAGACACTGTGACAGGAGTAACACCACGTTCCCAGCATTGACTGAGGTAGCTCCTAGGTTTCTAGAATGAAGCTAAGCCTCCAGGCGACTCCATGTCTCTGGGCTGCTTTGTGGGAAGACAGAACTGAAGGCCCCCCTCTGGATTTCCAGTTTGCTACTGGAAAGTGGCCAGTTCTCTGTGTCAAGGCCCAAAGAATAAACTAGTGGACAAGTGTCTGTTGTACGGTGGCCTTTGACAACAGGTTTGGGACCGGGATGCCCATTCTCCCAACCTGAGCTAGCTTTGGAGCCACCAGGAACCACAGGAACACAAGCTCCTGGGGTGTCTCACCCCTGCCACTCAACGTGCACCCATTTCTTACCAAACAACCCTGCTCGTGCAGTTGGTTTTGACTCCCTGCATGGCAGAGGACTCCTTCCAGTTTCTGTGGTGAACTCTGGTTCCTCCTAGGGCCGGTGCCGGCCTTGGCCAGCTGAACACTGCTGTCCTGTCAAATCACTCAGAGCCAAATTTCCTTATTTCAAAAGCGCTTTTGTTATACTTGCTTTGGCTCTTAGAACATTAGGGCCAAATTCTCATTTCCTTTCTCAGATCCTTACATACACAACTAAGGAATTTATCAAGTCAAAGAAAATTAATCTAAGAAAGTTGCTTTTAAAATGAAGTAAGTCAATGTCAACAACAGGAACCTTCTCTAAAATACTTTTGCCTTTTTGTTGTTCTTTCCTCCCATTAGATCCACGCAATTAACTGCAGCCCCTTTCAGCTCCAGCTTCCCAGACAACTCTTGTCTTCTCCATCTAGGGCAGCCCGAAAGCCAGGTCCTGCAGGAATAGCTCTCTGTTTATCTTCACTCCTTACAACTACTTGAATTACCCAAGCTTTAACGTTACATCCTGGAGCCATTTCACCCCATCCTGCAGAAAGGAACGGCTGCACAGCTCCACATCTCAGCTCCGCACCTTGGTTCCTCGGCTCTGCACCTCTCTGGCAGCCCCGAGCCCCCTGCTCGCCCCCAGGCACATTTCTCAGCTATTGCTCGCAGCAGCATGTGGAGCGCGTTAGGGCCAGATGGTGACAGGAACGAGCAGATCTGCCAAATCATTTGTCATGAGCTCCCTCCTCTAGCTCTAGGCTTGTCATATATTCAAGCCCTCAGTCAATGGAAGCAACCCAAAGACGCAGACTTTATTAGTAGTTGGGCAAGTTCTGAAAAAAATCTCTATTTATCCTCTTTCAAGCACTACGTTCAACCTGAGAGGACCAGGGAATGTTCTCCCAGATGAAACAGGCTGCCCAGTTGGATGCTGAATATTCACAGCTCACCGGGCCTGTACAGACATGCTGACAGGTACATTCCCTGTTCCAACCTCGCAATACACCATTTCTTATCTTAAATAACGATGAGGGATGATTGTTTCCAGTAAAGGGGACAAATCCTGTAGCTCACAGCAAGGTGCAGGCTGCACTACGCTGCGCTGCTCTCCTGCTCCCCAAATACCATCACCCTTCCCGGGGAGCACAGCAGGAACATTCAGGAGTTGGGTGCTTGGGACTAACAAATCTTTCTGTTAAATTACAGGCTGAACTGTACGCACATCTGAGAACACTTAATGTATACTGTGACTAGCAACATGTCCTTACTGGGACTGCAATAAGAAGGAGCAAACCCAACTGTAACATGTCACAGAGTTACTGAGAGCAGCTTGCTAACTTTAGTAAAATTGCAGGGATCACTATAACACTTTTTTTTTTTTTTCATAAACCATGAGGAAAAGGTCATCCTATCTTGCTCACACTGCTTCCTTTTGATTCTGCCACCACCTCGTGGGTGCAAACCTGGCCCTGTTGGCTGCAAGTCACTGACACTGGGGTCTTCAACGCCAGTAGGAAACACCCCACCAGCTGGTTTAATGCCTAATTCCTGGCAGGAAGAGGTCTTTAACATGAAGCTCTGCACTAGAATGGTATAAAGTGTCACACACGCTTCACAGTGACCCTACAGAACGGCCAACGTGACCAGGTGGGAAACTCTCCTGCTCTTCTTTCACCTACAAATGGGATCATGTCATATTCGAGGCACTGGGCATAAGTAGTGCAAGGGAGACTGCACCAACCGTATCTGAACTGCGTTTGTTTTGTAATTAAAAATAGAACTTCCAACCAAAATGACCGCCCACTTGCCACAGGCTTTAAAGAAATAGATACAGAAGTATTTTTTTATATCAAATACGTAACCAGCCAGCTCATCCTTGCCACGTCCCTCTGTCTTTCACGTGTTTCCAACGTGCAAGCTGGTGTTGGCATCTGTGGGTGCCAGTAAGATCTTCCTCTCTTGCTGTTTTCTGCTGTGCTCCAGGGGAAGTGGATTTGGTGAATAATCATACCCATGCACATTGAGGAACCAAAGTGGTGAAAACTACTGCTATTTTTATCTGCAGATAAGGACAGACAGCAGCTGCACTGAGTCGCTCCCACACTTCCCTGTCTGTGATTTTGAGGATGTTGGCACATGTACAGAATATGCATCTTGATGTTGCAGATGCTGCTATCCTGCCACATAGAAGCAGTACACGCAACCAAAGGCTACTTTCCTACTGCCTTTTGTATTGTAGGAGACATTTATTGAAGTCAACTGAAACTAAAAAAAAATATGAGAGTTATACTATGCGGTTTAGAATATTAAAAAATTGCACTGTGGTAATTTTAGGCCAAGGATCATACACATGGCACTGCTGCGTGTGACAGCAGGAACAGACACAGTAAGTAGGGAAACCCAAGGTTGCTGATAATGAAGAGTGCTCACCATGAAGTCTATATTGTTGTCTTCATTTCGGAAGTGCTCCATCAGCTTCTCAAAGCGCTGTTTCTCTCCACACACCTAGAAAAGAATCACCACGTGTACATTAAACTGCATTTTGCAAGAAAGAGTATTAAAAACGTTTAAAAAGCAGCTTCTGTGCTTGCTCAAAACCTCTCTCTGTCCACGTTCCCTCTCTTGTTACAAATATTCTTCATGACAAATCCAGCTGTAGATTCACAGGTCAACCAACACGTGTGCTCCAATTATAATGTAACTCTTCAGAGCTCTTTTCCCCCTAAAAATTTAGGGATACCCACTGCTCTGCTTGTATAAGTGTTACAACAGAGTTACACCAGGCGATGCCACAGGAAGACTTGGCCTCTCTTACAGTTCGGAATTGGTTTTCCACTGCAACATAATGTAATTAGGAAGAAGACCAAATTACAGAGAGGAAAAAAGGAAAATTATCACAGGCTAAATGAGGAGCGAAATGCATCAGCACAACGATCAGCTGCTCGGAATTACAGAGCTGTAATACAGGGGTGCTGGCAGGAAACACCTCCAACTTGAGGGAGAAATAAGATCTAAGATAACGCAGGTCTCAGTATATTGCTTAACTCTTATCGCTCCCCCATAGCTTCTCTGGTCTAGTCCTAGTTCTCTCAGCAGACAAATGATCTGAGCGACTCCCAACAAACTCACAAAATGCTAAACGTGCTGCCAAGTGACAGGGACCGTGGGGTGGGCACTGCTGCCCTCCTTTTGTCTGAAGCACAAACCCCTTGGTGAGCCCAAGAGGCTTCTTCCTTTCTTAACCAGGCTTCAGGCGAACATCTGGGGAGCGCTGGCTGCTGCTGCTGTGAGGACACAGATGCATCCCCGTGATTACAACCCCAGGAGCCAGCCACTTCACAAAGCAGGAACTCCGGCAGCTACCACCGCAGCTCCCCGTCCCAGATCGGAGAACATCAGCTGCTGCTTCCCTCGAGAGCCAGCTCATCCTGCAGCATTTGTGTGAAATTAGCCAATGAATGGTAATTAGGATTGGCGGGAGCACTGGGTGCTTCTTTGGGAACTCCACAACGAAGGCACCGAGCAGACCTCGCTGAGTTTTTGGATGGTTTAATGGGACCTAAACCAAGCTGATGGTCGGATTTGCAGAGCACTGCCCGTGGTGTGCTGCTGGGCGCTCTCTCTCCATGCTTTCTGCTGTCTGTTACGACCGAATGAAATCTATCTGCAGTGTATATCACACATCTTCTGTCATTCCCATACAAAATTGTCGTAACTGGGTTATTATTCATGTATCTGTGGTCCGCACCTGACGTCAATAGGATGCCTGTCGCTGGATCTCTGTACGAGGCCAGTGGCAGTGGTTATGATGGGCTGTTTGATAACACCACCACCAATATTCACAGCCACAGTCCCACAGCTTGCAGCTCATGGGCTCGGTGCTGGCTCAGCAACCACACGCATCTGGTGGCAGGGTGCCGAAGGTGGAACCAGCACTGGCTAAAATGGTGTTTAAAATGCAGCGTGTTTCCAGCTAAACCTTAAAAACTCAGAAAACAGAAGAAATACCTCAGTGACAAAGCCTGCACCCTTGTGACAAACAGACTGTGCTTGGTGGTCAGGCAAATTATCACAATCGTAGACCCAAAGGACTCAGCTCTCTGTGCAGCCTACATCACAGAAGGGGTTTTGAAGCACTGAATGCTCCTACTCTGCCTGTAAAACACACGTTAAGGTCCAAAATACAGTAAAACAGAGCTGAGAGAGACCCACTTGGATGCAGCAAGTCTTGCTGTGCTGTGTGACTCGCAGCTGTGCAGTGGGAGAAGGATGCACGAGCTGTCCCTGCTTAGCAGAGGAGGGCCCTGGGACATGGGAAGGACGGGTGAGTTTGGAGAGACACCGGTCAATCAGCTTCAGGCTGTAAATCTGCCGTCTAACCCCAGGGTTTTCTTCATGGTAATCTTCACGAGGCCTTCCAGGAATCATCTTCTGGTGGGAGATCAAAGCCCAAACACTGTATACGGAGAGTTAGGGCAGCTCCAAAATGTTTCTAACCAAAAGCGAGGGCAAACGAGTGAGTTCCTGCTCCTGCCCCGCAGCACGCTGTGCTTTGCAGATGGTGGTGGCACAAGAGCTGGCCTCACTTCAGAGACTTAGGCTCTGCAAAGCCACCAGATGTCCAAACTCAACTCCAAAACGGCGAGAAGCGCCCTTGGGAAGATACAGAGATCATCAGGAGCATCTGGCTGCACCAGTGTGCATTTAAGAGCAAGAGCTCAAATAAGTGCTCTCCGGCAGGGACCAGAGCATCTCCGTAGCACTCTCTGCCTGCAGAACCAGGGATGGTTTCTGTGCCACGAAACTCATCTTCAATGACCGTGCAGCACCATGACCTACCTCAGGGACTTACTGTGAGCACCCTGCTGAGCACCCTCTTACCGAGGGCCATCAGACTCACTCCTTGCTGCCCGGGAAGGGGCCGGCTGCTGCTGCTGCTTCGTGCACACCTCCCTGGGCCACGTATGCTTCCAGGCAGAGGCAGCACGCCCTTCAGGAGGAGAAGGGATGAGTCGCTGCGAAGAGACTCACTTCCCCCGGGAAGAGCCAAAACCAGGATCTGGCAGGGCGTCAGGGACCCACTTGCACTGTAAAGATCAAAGGCAGCAGCTGCCTGCCAATGTAATTTCATTTCAGAGGCACACACTGGGCCCGATCCAATTCCCTCTCAAACCAAACCCGAAGAAGCCTCTCCTTGATTTGCACCGCAGGCTGCTTAGCTGTGCTCATCCCTTCCATATTCTCCAAGCCCATTTTTTTCCGGCATGGTATTTCAATGCAACCAACAGCAAGCCCTCCCTGCACTCTTCGTACTCTCCCTTTCCCAAAAAACAGTTGGAGTCAACATGACAAAAGGAGAAATAGGTTCAGCTCAGGTTTGAGCTCCTCAAACAATCACACCTCTCCCGCAGCCACTTCAGACAAAATGGGAGGACTTAAACCAGATCAGGTACCATGGAAATAAACATGACAATGGCACGTAGGATCACTCAACAACACAAGCCAGAAGGACTGATTTTGGGGAATCTAATGCAAACCGTTCCGCATGGCTGAGAGAAGCTGACATAAACAACCACCCCCCATTAGGGGTTGCCTAATTAAATCGGGGAGCAACTTGAGGTGACAGAAGCCCGGCAGACAATTGCCAACGATGGGAACCCAGCAGCCCCGGCTGGCTGGCTTCGGCAGCTGCTAGCAATAGGAAGAGCACCAACAACCTGTGGCTTTCAGCGGCTGCTTGCAGATATTTCACACTGTCATCAGATGAGTCAGGGCTGGGAACATGTGTGCTTCAAGAGAGACAGCGAGCTGCCTTTCGTGAAATGATATAATTTATCCCGGAAGATTAAAGAGAGCGAAACTGTAGATGAAGCCTGCAGCCTGAAGATTGGCCCGAATCCAAGGCGAACGCTGAAATCAAATCCCACCGCATAAAACCATATGTTGCCATTTATATTTGAATAAATTTCCAAGGTCTGTCATTTGCATTGGAAGTACGGCTGGGACTAAGAAAGACGGATCTTTCTTTTATTAGCATTATTCTATGTAAGAAGAAAGATTAAATGGGTTACCGCAGCTATAATAAGCCTCTGTCTCTACTTAGGTTGCGAAAAAAGTCTTTTTAGGTTGCATTAAGCCCACGTCATTCTGGAAGAACAATGTGGCTTTATGGAGAGCCACCCACGGAGGGTCCCTTCTCCGGGTGCTAACGAGGTGAGCCCTTTGCGGATGCGTTACAAAGGCACAAGGCAGCGCTGTAAGGAAGCAGAAGGCTCTGTTCTGAAAAATGTTGTGAGGATTGCACCCCTGTCCACCTGGCAGTGCTGGCAGGTCGTGCGGTTCACATCCAGACCACCCAGGAGCAAAGTTCAAAGGCGGCAGCGCTCGCGATGCTCCCACTCACGTGGCCTTTGGAGAAAGGCAGCCGGGGCAGGCAGCACATGGCAGCAAGGCTATTTTGAAAAAAGGGCCATGTTTTCATGAGCAGTGTCAGCCAAAGGGAAAACCCATGCTGAGCGAAGCACATCGTCCTCCTGCCCCAGGTCATTATCTAACGACACGAAGCATCACCTGGGGAACCGAGCTTGCGACCAAACCCCACCACCAGCCAACGCAGCGAGCTCCATGTGGAGATGGCAGGGCACACACGCCGTATTTTCAGGCTCTGGAGCTGCAGCTTTGTTGGCCAACAGCGCAAATTGCACACTGTGAGCCCCAGCTGCCAGATCTCTGCCTCCTCCACATCTGGAGGACCGATGCTCGCACACCTGAGACGCGGAGCCCATGCAGCCCTGGAGCTGCCTGCTGCAGCCACCCCGGTGCGAGTCTCTTCTTACTAAAGGGCTGAATTTGAAACACATAAACCTCAGCAGAGGCTTTGCAACACAGCACCACCATCTGCCAGTGCAAAACATAAAGTGACCATCCAACCACGTGGTGCCCAAAGCTTGTTTTAAGCACACAAATGCAGCCCATACCGGGTGCGGTGTTATAAGCAGCCTGATGGATATGTGCAACCCAAAAATCCATGCGACCCTTTGTAAACCTTTCCTCCTGTCTGTGCTCCTTTGTCCCGGCGGCACAATGCTGGCTTTCTCTCCCCCACAACAGCCCACTGTGGTCAGCAGATCCCACCACGGGCCGGCAGCGCTCAACAGGAACACTTTGTTTTGACTGATCACGCTGACATTTTTGCAGTTCGCTGAAGAACAAAAAATCAATTTTCTCATAAGTTACTGGTTAAGTAAACAGTTACTTAATACTTACTAGGTTAAAATACCTCTTACTTCTCTACCAGCAGGGTTAAGGCACTCTGAAAATACTGCTGCAGTAGAAAAGACAACAAATGTGTTTACATTTTCCAGCGCTTGCAAACTGTTTCTTCTAGCCCTGAGTTATTATAATGGCCTGTAAGAATAACCCGGCTCTGCTGTTTTCAGTGCTGTCACTCATTATTCAAATAGAGAAATCTGACTCTGAATCCGCTATTGTGAAAAGTTGGGGCT